AACAACTTAGAACGAAATGTTTTTTACTACCGAAATCAGTGGAAAATTTGATACAGGAGACATGTAAAGTGTCATTTTTAAAAAAAAGTGGAGTTGATATAGTCTAGCTCTGGGGTCCAGATATGTACTAGGATGGTTTTAATATGGAAGGAAGTAAACGGCTTAAAGGCTCCTTAGACCCAAAATAGCCGTAAAATGGGCGTCTTCAAGGGGTCATGTGCTATCTGGATTCTAACATAATCCATCTTGGGCTATTAGATAATTACAATAACATAAGAATAATATAAAAAAGGATCGAACAGATTATCTTGCTCATAAAATAATACATATTTGTACATATCATTTTTCAATACTTTTTCTCGTAGATACATTTCAATGTAAACAAAAATCTAGCGACAATCTACAAATAATCTTCAATAATCAACATCACAAGCTAATGGTTATAAAATACTCTAAAAGACGGCATTATAATTGTAATGTAACAACCATGTTGTAATACGGTTTTTCTTTACTCGCCGTCATTTGTTCGCGTCCCAGTCGCCATATTACCGCACCGAGCAGCCGTATGAATATTAAATGCTTTCTGAACTGTTGTATAATTGGTGTGTCCTCTGTGGGTTGTTAAGGATACTCCACGGCCACGGGAACACCGTGTGTTTGTCTAGTAGAATTAGCGATCCAATTATGCACAGTAGTCGAGAGGAGTGACGCACTGGTTTCTGAGACGTGCGCTGAGAGCGATACTGGGCCTCCCTCTGGTGCTCTCCAAAGGGATACGAATGAAATATAGGCCGGCCAAACAACGTCGGCAAATCGCTGATATATTGCCGTCGACATGGCCGAACATCGTTACCAATTAACCGGTCCCCTGGCGATCGACGCGAAGCAGTCCATTAAAATTGCGGTGTGCGGTCGCGTTAAACTTTTAACAGTGCAATTAAATGACCAACGGCGGCCGAGGGGTGGAAAAAAAGCTTACTTTTCCGTTCGAGTTTTAAATTACTCGCATTTAACGAAAATGCAGCTCCCACGACCGTTCGTGTGTTTTATAGGGTTCGTACGTGGGCGTCGAGAAATGCCCATTTGGGCGAGTTCTGGCTAAAAAGTATCCATGGTCTTCTGGAAACGATGTAACATTTTGTTATGTTACTTTTATAGTGTTTTGGAAAATCGATTGAATATGTGAAGAAAAAATAACGTGGCCGGTGAGAGACGTAATTCGGCCCAAAGTACGAAATTATTGTTTCTCTTTTGTATAGGATGTCGCGGAAATGGTAATACAAGCTGTGTAGAAATTAGTTTCTTATGCAGAAATAATTCTCGAAAAACCAATTTTGGAAATTTATCTGAATTTTACTTGCTATAAGTAGAAATGATAGGTCATGAACCGACACGTTAGCCAAATTCTATGCAATTATACTCGTAAATTACAGACTTCTAAAATGAACTTTTTTTAAATGTCCTTGATAAGAAAATTTAACTTACTTCTGCATAAGGAAACCATGTCCTTCCCATTCGATTTCAACCGCAAACTATAGACACAATATCAAAAGACTGAATCCAATAATAAAAAATGTCATCCATTGAGGTTGCGACTGATTTTTATTGTTAACTCTACAGTGAACGAACGCACAAAAATTTCTTATAAGAAAGATAATTAAAAAAAGAGGTGTCAATACTTTCCAAAAATTGTGGGTACTTCTCTAGTATTTAGTCTGTAAATGACAAACCATTTGTGTTTTTGTTCCACGTCCAACGGTGTAGACGTGAAAAATTATTTATACCGGCCGTGCGGCTATTGCCTTGCCATTTTTTATTCAAACATTTTTACACATATCTATAAATTTCTGTAAAATCACCTCCAAAGTTCTATCATATCTTAACATTACCCCTTAAGTGAGTAAATACCGATTACTTAACTCAAACTTGTATCAGTATCTACTCCCGTTACGCTACAGAAACTACTGTCAAATCCATCTAAACTGTACCAAACCACGCATATACCTAAACCCGCACAGAACAGCTCAGGAAGTTCGCGAAATCGTAAAAACGCACGAAATGACCCGACATTTATTTCCGCACAAAAGCTTCGCTCCTATCTAACAATTAACCCCCATGCTCATCCCCTTCAATTTATATCCCAGCACTCGTCGTTTCACCAGACTCGCCCCGGATCCTCCTACCAGGCCCAGCAGCAGTGTCTGAATCCTGGGCCTAAATACAAAAAAGAACATGAATAGCCGAAGACAGTGTATATTCGTCTTCTGGCAACCTGGCCACGGGTACAATAATTCAAATTCTAAACGAGACAATTTCTCCGTCGTGCTGCGCCGCTGCGCGAAAATAAAGCGCAACGATCCTACCCCCAGGACTTTGGAGATGGGGGACTGTTGAAACAATCATTAATTAAATACGCCGTGAAGCAGGGATGAAAGAGGAAGCACTCTCGGCCAGATACCAGGGGGAAAGATGGTTGCAGGTGTTGCTAGTTAGTAACAACGATTCAACCGGTAATGGTGGGGGTATGGGGGGTTGGGAGGGGATGGGAAGTGTATCTCTCTCCTTGAACGTTGAAAAGTAAATCGGAGGAGTAAGGCTGTGCTTCTCGGCCGGAAATGAGCCTTGCCGAGTACAATCTCCGGTCAGGGAGGGCCTCTCCATTTTGTTCTTTGTGATGTGTCCGCTATAATTGAAAATGTCCGCGCGGGCTCGGGAGACTTTGCCACCCCCCACCCCCCTCCCCGCTTCGTCTTTCGCGAGCCATTCTTCGGGAAACTACGCTTTTGCCGGGCCACCCACTCTTTTCACCTAGATCGTGTTATTATTGTTGAGGTACACAATGCCGTGAATGTTACAATCGCGGGGGTAGGGGGCGAAGTTGTATTTAGTTCATGGTGGCTGAATGGAACCCGGGTCTAGGCGGATCCTTCGGCTGTCTTTGGTATCATTCTCTTTCGACGACTGACGAGAGAATTCTTTTTTGGTAGAGAATAGCGTGAATGGGCACGACTTGGAGTAATTGGATTTATGTAAGAGTTTGGTGGGGGTTGATGAAACTCCGATTGCATGTATACTGTTGCGGAAGTAGCTACGTTCGTGTATAGGGTCTGGAGTTATTTCGATTGTTAATACGTTTACTATTGGATACTGTGGATGTTGAGTTGGAGGAAGGTGATTAAGTTTTCGTTAGTTATTAACACATTACGAACCTGGCTTTCATGTTTCTTACAGTATGTGCTAACATATCAGGCTATAGTATGGCGACGAAAGTTTGTCTTCGTTACTCTGTTCTTCAGTCAAAGTAATAGGAACCCTAAAATCATCTGACATTTGTGACAAACAAGTATGTATTCGTAATGTGCTATGTAACTGTGAAAACAAATTATTTTATATTGTAATTTTCAGATCAACAAAATAGTAGAAAACGGCTTGTCACGCGGTATAGTGGGTCAGACTAGGCCTGTCACATTTCAGCTAACGTTTAAACTTATAATAGTAATATTATACATTTAACCGTATATAAAAATTATTGTGCACTTATAATAATATTATGCATTTCTAATTGGTTTCTTCGGCAGAAACTTTAAGATTAATAACATTAAAGAAAATTTATATGTTCATTCGTGCGTGTTTTATGAATTTTGGTTTAAAATAGTTCTTACTATGATAAATAATATGTCAAGACTGAGAATTATTTAAATCATTATGTATGTAAAATTACAAATTCCATGGTCATAGGAAAAGTTAGTGATTTATAAATAAAAGAAAACGTTACTTACCGAATCGAGTAGACGACCCTAAGGGGACTACCTCAATATTGCAGAATGGAAATGTAATTTTTTCTAAATGTGCAGGTTCTGCCACAAATTTCGTATAGCACTGAACAATAAACGTTAAAATGACACTGACGCTAATGATTTTCCAATTTTGAAACCTCTAAAAATTCTGTAACACTGGTTTAAAATCACCCTGTATAAAATTGGAAACATAAAAACCATTTCTAAACTAATTGTGTCCAGTCTTCAGAACAATGGGAGTTAACCGTAGGCATTGATATTTAGAAAAATCCTTGAAACCGTAATAGAATTATTAAAGTCAACAATAAAAGAACGTAGTGAATAATAAATAGACTGCGGATTTTATGCATCTATAGCCTCTATAGGCTCTATGGAATACAATAAAAAACAAGGGAAAATAAATGTCGACAATTGCTTCTGTCTTTATAAATTACTTTAGAAAGTTTTATTTTGCATAAGAATCGGCAGTCTAATCATAAATTACAGTGTGATTAACAGAGAAATAGTTTAGAAAATTTGTGTATTATAATTTCTTATAAGAATTCAAAGATTATACGGGTGAACGTAAAGTATTTATTATTAATAAATCACAACGATTAACAAAATAAAATATTTGTACGTACTATGTATCTGTATTCGCGAAACTTTCCACCGAAACCCGTAATATTTGAAGGTACAGGAGGTCATTACGTTCGAAACAGTATCGATGCTGTAATCGATAAATCACGGGGTTTCGATACACATTGACGACCCGGACGGCACTCGATCGTTTCTTCGTCGAGGCCTCGATCGATGTTGACGACGGGCCAATCGGCCATTAAGTGTATCCTGTGTCGAGTCGCAAAAAAGGACACGCCGGGCAATCAATCTTCCATAAGTCGAAGGCCTCGAAGAAACACGGTTCGTTCCCTCGATCGAACGAAGAAACGATCGCGCGTGTGCAAGATGGCTGCTGGACGAAATCTCGCGCGTTGGTCGTCGCAAGAAATCGTCGATCGGGGATCTCGAGGCTTCGTGGCGGGTGTAGGTAATGGTTTCATCCCCCCCATCCCCCGATCGAAGGGGTTGGAAAACGAGTTTCTTCCGCGAGCCGTGGTTTTACCCGGGGCTTGTCTCGATTTATCAGGATGTTCGATTTGTCGTCGATCGGTAACGAGAAGCAAACGTCCTTGCGCTTCATATGGATTTGTTCTCCGGTTTCAGGTAGTAGCGAGGAATCGAGACCTGGCGGCGGGGATCCTGGAAAGTTGGGAGTGAAGAAACCAAGACCGAAGGCATCGTCGCCCAACCGACAGGGACCACAGCAATGCCAGGTAAGAAATTCACTCGTAAGTGCATTTATTCGTCATTATTGGACTGTGGATGTGTATGCAAATGTAGATATTTTCTGTCCGTTTTACGGAAACTGACATCAAAACGAAAATTGCGTTACTTCATGACATTAGGTTCAAAAACCTCCTCAGACTTCATTGAATATTTGTCGATATTGAGTTTTCAACCATCGTATACGCTATAGACGCATAAAATTCACAGTCTAGGAATTGTTAGTAACAGGAAGGAGGAATATATTACAAACAAAAATGGAATTGAAGAGAATAATAATGATAGTTTTTCGGAAAAGATACACGGTAATAGGCGACTTCATACGCCGAATTACAAAATAATTTTTAATACGTACTTACTATCTGGAAACTGTAAGTCAAAAAATAGATCATTCCGTTAAAAAAAATCAGGTGACCTTCAAAGTCTCTGAAATGCCATAAAAAAAGCACGTAGCTGCGACCCTCTGTATACGTATGCACTAATTCACAGTTGCATATAACACAAATTCGCATAACACGGCCATTATTAGGGGCTAACTATCATGTTATACGAGAGTTACTAATACAGACAACAGTTTTTGCGTAGGTATGGAAAATAGAAAACATTTAATAAAAACATAGAAGAAACAATTTAGTCAAACTCAACTTGAAGTGGAGAAACGGGTAATTTGAGACAACTTATAGTTACTATAATTCCCTATAGTTTCTATAATTCGCTGGAAATACTTCAAAATACTTTCAGTTATACGTCACTTCAACTTAACAGTCAACTTGTTGAGAAGCTACTTCCTCATTGGTTTATTTTTGCCACATTTTTCAAAGTCACTGAGTTTCAACCGCCCGTTTTTATTAAATTCCCTGTTATATGAACGTCACAGAAAAATGATTAAAAAAAGTCCCGTTGAAATCCACGAGGAAGTAGCTTCTCGACAAGATCACCAACTTAACCTTCAATTTCATTTAGGTTCCACTGTGTTTGAGATTCGGCGAACAATCGTAATAAAATTGGAATGTCCGTAATTGAATGAAAACATTAACCCTGAGGGTCAGAACCTCGAAACCGCCATTGTATTTCTTCAGTGTTTAAAGCTTGAATGTATCCGTGCCCCATTGTCGACGATCTCTTCAAACAGTTCCCATCCCGAGGATACAAAAAAAAAAGAAAGGATAAGAGAACCCTGGAGGCCGGAACGCGCTTTAATGTCAGAGCTCAATCAGCACTCGCCCCCCCTCCCCCCCAACCGACATCCTCCCTAATGACGTTCGTTTGACAAATTTTATTAAATCGCCCGCCTAGCGGTGTACCTCCACAAAGAGAGCTCGCGGAGTGCAATCGAGGAGAACGGAGAAACAATTCATTAGCGACACCGCGGTCGATCGAATTAGATGGCGACGATCGATTCGGAATCGCAGTGTGCACACGGATACCACAAGTCCACAAAATTTACGCCAACTTATCCGAATTCTGTTGTTTCACACGTGGTTCCGCTGCTTTCTGGTTGCTGGTCGATCTTCGCCAGTCTCGTCCCCTTCAATGTCAAATTTTATTAGAACATTTTTTATCGGAGAAGCGTAAGTATTTGGGCAGAAATAAAAGTGGATTTGTAATATTATGAAAGGAGAATTTAGTTTTCAAACTGATTCCCTAAATTTCGATCTGAAATAAATATTGTTTAGGTGATATTACGATTATGCATACTATGAGGTAATCAACATAGTCTAAAATATATAATTTTGTAGGCGGATTTTGATGTGATCCTTCGGTTTCATAGACTGGGAGAAACATTTTTTTCACCGGGTAAAAAGGTCATTACATACTGTGTTTAAAGTTGTAATTTTGCTGTATTTTATACATTTTTGTTTATCATCGATGCACGAACTCTGTTGTCTAGATATTTTTGAACGTTCAAGATGACGTAGATATACAGTCTTTGTGCTCCAATTGTATTGTTCGTTCATTTATTTTTCCATTCAGTTTACGCCCGTTTCGTGTAACCTGATTGTGGTGTTTCGTGACCGAAGATTTGTCTTCGTAATCGCGGCGCAATTGGGCCAAAAGTTCAAGGCCGTTTCGGTATCCTCCACTTCGTTAGTCGCTTTTGGTCCGATTCCTGTTGCCAATTGGCGAACAAGCTCGAGAGGAATTTGTCGATGAGAATTTCCAACCAATCGAATCCTATTACCCTTTGGTTTTAATCAACGAGTGAAAGAGAACCAATCAGAATCAAGGAAAAACGATACTTCTTTAATACTGTAATTCAAACTTCTATCGTTTTTGTACTATTGATCTGACAATATTTGAAAAAGTATTTTAACGAATATTGACGAACTACCAAATATTTCATCATTTTGTTACGTAAATTTTCTCAGAATAATATATAAATGCATAGAAGATGAAGCATTTAATTTTATAGCTAAGTTAAATATTGAAGATAAAGTATTAATATCTTTCTGATAGTTTTTCTGACGCTCAACTTCCTAGAGAATATTAAAATATAGGCGTCAATTTCTGTAGTTATTACAGTTTCAATATTATATTAACTGAAATATTCATATTATTTCACTAGTATTTAGAAAAAACGAATATATCTAGTTCACCCTTTCAGAAATAACAGTAGAAGACTAATGTAATTGAACGAAATATTTTCCAGTCTTAACAGAGAAAAGTGTTGAAATGTCAAAAGCTAATAGATTCAAACTTTTTCTAGACATGTAACGTTGTTCTGACCTACTTGTGTTAACCAAATTCGCTCAGTTATTTATAATAATTCAACCAGTGTCAATAGGAACACTATGTTATTACAAGGGTTCTTTGTACTAGTAAAAGTTACATAATTAGCTCAAAGTAGAAGCACACCACTCCGGGACAAACGGCGCCCGCTGTGCTTGTACATTTTGCATTAATTTAATCCCCCGAAAATTTCTCTGAACATTAATAATTACACTCGTTTACTGTGCATGGCGCGAATCACACAACGTAGCATAACATGGTTACCAAACTCAGCCGGTTCAGTCAAAGCATTTAATTTTATCCCTTTGAAGTAAGATATTTGTAGCCAGAGCTGTGTCAGACCCAAGAACTCTGAGGATCATAGTAAGTGTTCTAGCCGGAAACAACGAGTTTCTTGTTGTACATTCCAGACGTAATTTGTGAAATTCTGTTTCCAGTTTTCGGCCCTTGATTGTAATCCGAATCAGTGAAAATAGGATCAGTGACGTTTCTCATGATTTTGTGTCGTTTTAACTTCTTCAAACTTTAATCGATTAATATTCATCTAATTGACGACCTTGAAGTATTGAATAGTAAATCGATATACGTTCCTGATATTACTATATAAGTACCCAGATAGCACACAGACGGCTTAATGACGGCTTAAATGCGCCTCAGACTTAAAATAGCCGAAAAATAGAAGTATCCCAGGTGTCATGTGTTTCATGTCTATCATTTATGACTTGTGTCAGGGAGATATTGATTAAACAGGAACAAATCAGTGTGACTAATGTGAAGTACATATGAAATGTGAGGTTAAATTAAAATCGAACATGTAAACAGAAGATAGTATCCAAGATGGCGTCCTAGATGGCGTTCAAGACGGCATCCTTATTGATACTAATGTTTTCTTTAAGTCATTGTTTCGAGTCTCAACTTCACTAACTTTTCGTACACATGAAACTTCATTGAATTGATATTTTATAAAAACGTCACATAAAATTTACCAGAAATATTCAACGCGAACGTAACTCAATGTTCTCCGAAACACGTAAGCCAGCTTTCAGAAATCTAACCCAACAATGAACCAACAAAGTACTTGCGCCATCCTACATGCATAATTTCTGCAATAATAATTTTTCCCATAAATCATAATTTATGACAAATAATCTCCCGGTAATGCATATCCAATTACAGGATGCACAAACATTTGTACAATTCGAAACAAGCAAAATTACAATTATCTGAATCTTCCTTTGTCCATCATTCAAGCGCAGTTGTCGAAGTTCCTCGAAATTTCCTTATTTCCGGCCGAAGTTAGTTACTCCGCATGATCGAATCACGCATATACATACATGCATAGGCGCGTGACACGCGTGCACGCGTGACCCATATCGGTCCAAAATGGTGGCACTGGCGGGACGAACGGCAAACCGGACGGCACTCTGGACAATGGACTCTGTTTATGCATCCGAGGTTGCAGGCGACCCGAGTGGCCGGTGGTCGCGTGTACACACGTAGAACGTCGGTGCGCCAACATCGAGGCACCGGTGTGCGACGCGAAAAGGCTGTTGAATATTCAGGCAGGGACGATCCTCGAGCGGCTACAGGGAACACGGCGTCTTGTAGAGTAACACACGAACGGAATATCTCTTCGCCGACCAACCGTCGCGTTACGTTCACGATGGCTTAAGAAGGATAATTCATAATTAAACACGAATATTTAGATAATATTACGAACCGTTATAATATTAAATACATTAACGAATCGCTTATTTCAGGAACTCCATAACTGAGAAAAAATTCGAAATTGAGTTTATACTGGTTTCTTGTAGTTGATTGATTGACGTTTCATTTGGTGCAGAAACCCATTAAAATAACGGTTTGTATACCTCCATTTCGCGTCCTTGAAATATTCGTTTAGTGCAGAAACCCCACAAACAACATCACTTAGGGGATTTCTGCGCTAAAAACTTACAACAGGTGGTAGCACTCATTAGCAGGTTTTATCATATATAAAAAGGTTATTTATCATATATAAAGTGGAAAAAAGAGAAGATTCTGAGTACTCAGAATAGTGAATGCATCATATCATGCTTATCTTCTTTTTACAAAATATTTCTAATTGACCAAAATAAAGTTTAATATTATTAGAAAGTGAACTTTGTTGATTTTTACCTCTAACTGAACTCATTAATATCATAAAAATGGTAAAATAGCTTTGTAAATTTATTTTATTGCATAAACCCCATAACTGCTGAGGGTGTATATTTTTTTTACC